CTACATGAGGAAAAAACAGGATGTAGCATTTTGGGTGACTGGGCCATTGATTAAGCCTCAATTTTAATCTGGAAAAAAACACAGTCCATTAAATTCCTCCCCAAATAACAGCAGAGATATTTTTTATGGAAATAACTTCCGGTAACAATATTCTGCCTCCTGGAACTTTCCGGAAACAATTCTTCATAATTGAGCCTTATAGATTAACTTATATTTAACACATTTGATTTTGAACTTCATGATCTTTATTAAATAGAATATATAGACCAGAATTTACTCTTCAGTGATGAGTCAAGGCTATCATTTTGTAAAACAATCGCTTCTCGGCCTTTTGGCTAAGATCAAGTGTAGTATCATTTTGTAAAATAATCATCCTAACCTGTTATGATATAGAGACCTTCTCAAAGGTCATGGAGATTGACCCCACACTAAATAACATTAGATGATCATGCATTTATATTTTTGAGTCATTGTATACAGTGGTAATTTCTTTATATCCTTTCATTTCCCATGTCCCTACTTTGTTGCTTTCAGAGACAGTGCAAAGTGGGTTGGAGACCAGCAAATCATATTTGGAATCTTTGCTCTATGACTTAGCAGCATTCAAACAACTTCCTTAGCTTTCTGGACTTCAGTTTTCTCAAATACAAAATGGCATATATACCACTAACAGGAAGAAAATGGAGATAATACTCAGAATAGTTCTTACTCTAAATTTATTTTCTCATATTTCTGATGAGAATGTTAAGGTAACCAAGGTTATCTCCTTGAATTTTGCTACCATTTCAGCTTAATGGCAGAGAATGTGTTTTATTTGGTTAAAATAGTCTACTTGCACATAAAGTTTAATTTTTTTAAAGATATATTCATTTATGCATACAAGAGCTGAGGTACAGGCCAGGGATGCAGGGGGGTGAGAGGATTCACCAGAGACAGAGTAGAGAACAGAACAGGCGGACTGACTGAAATACACTGCTGAGGGGAGCAGTGTACGAGACAGGAGAGGTCTGCTT